ATTGTAAATGCACATGTAACGACGTTCCCTGCATACACGTGCATTAAGCGTGACCGAAAGCTATCAAGATATTCTGTTGCTTCCCCCTCTCACCTGTTTCTAGGATGAATTTCGACGCAACGTCAGATTTTTTAGCTGATAACAAAACTTTGTAACAACAGACATGCTTCTATTGCCTTTTGTGAATATTATAACTTTTCATCATACTTGGGTTGATGTATCAAAATGCTTGGTCTTCTACATAATAACCATGAAAATTATTAAAATTTTATATTCCCATTTGTTTTACTAAATTTACTTAGCCGTGGTTTGTCTCTTAAGTAGATATAGTATTCATATTAAACAACAAGGGAAAATAAACGTAGGTTACGTTTTCCCGAAGTATTTTCCTGTAAAGTATGTATATGGTATATACAACAGGTAATAAATTTATATTATTTATGGTAAAATATCTTATGAGTCCTCATGGATAGGAACCAACACACTGCCTGCTGCGAAGCAGTAATGGCTTCCGGTTTGAAAAGAGAAACAGCCGTTAAACTGGAACCATTGGGACTTACATTGCGGGTATAGACACGCTAACTACATTCACAAATATTACGAAATGTGAATTAATGAAGAGTGCTAATTTTAATTATGCCTCGCGTACCACGAAACAACGTGCTCCTATCGGATTTGCAAAATGGATATTTGCTATATTAAAAATGGAGCCGGGAATTCGGCTTTATATTTGAAGAAATTTGCTGTGTGCCGTCAATTGTTTACATTAGTGTCAAGGTGGATAGCTAGTGAATGTGTCAATTTATACCAGATATTTCAAAAGAATGAAAACCTAGTTTATTAATAATGATTTTTTATGATTGAAGGATTACTGGTGGCCCGGAGGCTTACCCAGTTTCACCAGGACAGGTGGGCGACATTAATAATGTAAATAATAATCCATGACATATCAATAAAAGTCTCTGGGCACGAAATTGACAATCAAGCGTTAGATATACATGGCGGCCGTAATCAGGGATTTTTCCTACTGGCTACTGGAAATACATAGCATACTGGACATGGACGACGGTAAATTTCTAAGACCTTAAGTAAAAATTCTGACTCCGACCAGGAATAGAAATGGTAAAATTGTCAGAGTCGCTAAACACTATTTCAGCAAGGCCAACAAGAATGGGCCTGTTATTTATAAAATGGTTCAATTTAAAATAAATTGTAATACTGAAAGTAGTGAAGGAATGAAAATCTACGTAATATAATGTAAAATACATTACATACATACATACATTAGGATTTTTTTCAAAAATTAGTACTACTTTTTGGGATGAACCGTTAGGGATGGCACCCAAGTAATACGTAAAATGGTCTTCTCATGATAAAACCTTTGGAATAATAAGCTTCCCTTCGTACGTTAAACCTACACATAATTTTAAATTATGAAGCGGCAATACCGAGATTATTTTCATATGAATAGCAAGAAAGTCTAAATATAACACATTTTTACGACTAACCGTCCGTAAGCAAAACTATTTAGAGTAGCCGATGAAAGGGCTATAAACGGTTAAGTATAATCCCTGAACCGACTTAACCTATATTTGTATTTCTATTTTGATAAGATCCACTATTAGTTCTATCACTTCCTCGATTCTTCGAATGGAATTCAGATTCTTATTTCTGTTCATTTTTTTTTTCTTTTAGTTTTAATCCTTTGAATTTGATATTGTGCTTAGAACTATGTACGTATTTAAACAAGTTTTTATTATCATGACCTATATTTATTTATCTATGCTAGGGAATCTTTCGACGTAATTTTCATCAACTTCAAGATGTCTGATTAACTTGAACTAGTGGTCGCGCAGTAGTCGAAATTCGACTATAATTAATTGAAATTATAAGCTCGAAAATTATTATTGTTCTATTGCCAACGAGACAAAGACTATTTACTATATTTCTATAATCACAGATTTCGCCAAGACTACATATACAAATAAAATTAAAGATAAACAATATTAAGTAACCTCTTCTCAATTTGACCAGACTCTAAGCAATAACAAAAGAGTATATACGTGTGTGTCAAATACATGGTAGAGTGTGTGATGTTTTTTTTATTAATTTAATGTATTAATAATGCATAATTAAAAAAAAACATTAGCATTGTGCACTTCTTCTCTATATTCTCTATAAGTGTGGAAAATTTCATACTCTTCCGTCCGCGCAATTTTCGTAAAAAGGAATACAAAGTTTTTGCTTCAGGTATTAATATATATGTCTATACCATACGTGTCAAGGACTGAAGCTTTTTTTTTTATAATTGCTTTATTTTAAAACTGTTTAGCAAAACTGTCATCACGGGGCCTTAAATCTATATTACTTGGACAGTTTTTTCATGTGTGTACCACTAGTGTTTTTCTCTTAGAATCATTTACTGAATCTGTAATGACATAGCTAGGTTAACCACAGAGCGTGGTCGGTGAAACGAAACCGTTGTCACTCGTATTACTTAATGTCATTGAATGTTACGGTTTGTGATAAATTATAATCGTTTCGACTCTTGAGAGGCATGCGAATTTTACTCTCGAACAAAACACGGAGATCTTCTTAGTTGTTTTGTCATTATTGAGTTGCTGTAGAGAATCGTGATTTAGAGTTTGCAAAGTATTTAAATTAATATGTATCGTTTTTTTTTTATAATTATTCGACGGCTCGCGTGGTTTTCTTACCTAACTGGTGTATTATTCGTAGTAAGGTATATTGTGAGCCTGCAAGGATCGCCGATCTGCTTATTTATGTCGGGTACCACGTGTAGCGGTAGCTTTCAAAAAACAAGATATTTGACAAATACCTAAATCGTTTTGATGAATTTTTCCAGATAAGTTTGCCTAATAATAAATATATTGAAGCTATGAACATTAAGACTGACGGCCTACCGAGAAATATTAGTTGACATCGTTTTCCATTCTGGTAATGAAATCCCTTCCTCTTCACAATTAATCCAATGATTTCATTCAAAAAAAATGTTCTTTATTTATCGAAATGAAACCTCTTATTTGAACACTATAGCATCAATATGTATAGCGCCCCAATGCCACGCCAGTAAAATCCAAGATTTTTTGAACTTTAAAAAAGAACCGACTTCTAATATCGACTTATTCTCCTAAATCGAAACTTGACAACTTAATTAAACATTTTGCTTTACAATACTGAGGCCGATTAAAGGTAGCTCTGTTTATATTTCTCTCTCATATCTTTATTCAAATTCCAAAACAATTTAATAGGTTTTCTCGATAACGCTGAGTGATGGTAAATAATTATGAACCTCTTTGCTACCATGTTGTAATTTTTTTTTAAGAATGCGCGCTTTCTTTGTATGCGTCTAAGTTTATTTTATGGTGTGTTTCCTGTCTTTGTTTGATTCAATCTGTTTTCATACGAATATATCTTAATGTTAAACAGTTTCAAATACTGGCACGCTAACGATCTTCCGGAATTAAATTTAAAATAAAACGCAATTATCGTATTTTGTACCTGCCTATATCGCTATTTTTGGTTGATTACTGTAACTTATCTTTATCAAAGTTATTGGGCATCGAGAGGTCTGGATGATTCCTTGTCCCGTGTGTAAATCGTCCATAACTTCTATCCATAACAAAAGGAGAATATCGCAGCTAAGGGCTGTGAAATGCACCACATTATGTTATGTATCTACTCTTTATATACCTACGTAAATTCTTACGTCTTAAAACAGAAACTTTTTTGAAAAGCTTGTACCAATCCGGACCGTTTTAATGTTTTTTTTTTCCATAAAAAGAATGAATTGAATGAAAGTAAAATTGAAAAGAAGTGAATTTAGAACATTCTAGAATCGTTGAAATGCTGTTTATGTCATTCCAAAGGAATCTTTCTGTCATAAATAATAGTACTAGCAACGTACGATACGCGGCAAGCCAGTACATTTATTATATGAAAATAGTATTTTTTATATAAGCACCCGTCCGGGAGTAGCTGGAATAGCCCTATGGGCTACCAGTGGTTAGGTAGAAATAAACAAAACATACATCCATCAATAGTAACAGCGGAGAGTAACCGGATTTCCCGAGTTTCAAAAAAAAACTTTATATTGATGCTGTTTATTGTAGGACATAGGAGGTAGGTACTTCACACATGAGATGTATCCTTGACATCACAAAGGACTTCCACGCGTTCAGATACAACAGCGGAAGCAAAAAGCGTTGGCGATAATGTCACTGTGACATTGTATGACTGTAATCATGACATCTACGCAGTTAGGTCAACGTTCAAGGATCCTTAATTATGACATAGGACTTCGTTAATCTAAATTTTTTCTGTAACACCGCTATGCAGGTATCATTTTAGTTTGAAAATTTTAGATTATTTATTATACTTTTGATTATGCCAATCTTTGTGGCGAAGCTTGGGGGAGGTCTGTGTCTAGCAGCGACTATGGGCTGATAGAATATTATGCTGAATCTTACTTAATACGCTTTTATTAGCTTGGATTGTATCTACGTTTTTTTGTATTATATGTAACGGAATATTTGAACGTTATTTTTATCAACTTCAAGACGTGAGATTAATTTTAAATTGGCACACGCATCAAGGACCGATGACAATACAACATATTTTTTTTCGTTTTAATTACGCACAAATATCCACTGGATAAATCAGAAATCATGAATTGTTAGTTTGGTTTTATATTTAAGAGTGTTTTTTAGTTTTAAAATTATCTTTATAATATTTTTTTTATTTCTCTTATTGCTTAGATGAGTGCACCCTTCAAAGCGAAACGCATTAATTCTTCACGGCAGAAATAGGTGGGATGGTGATACCTACCCGTGCGGACTCACAAGAGGTCCTACCACCAGTAAAAAAACGTAGTAACGTAACGTTAGTAGTGAAACGTTCCTCTTTGATTATCATTGAATGTATAGAAAAAGGCAATTTGTTAAAGCTTCTCTACCACAAAAGGACTCTACGTCACTTACCTCGTCTGCGGGTTTCGTTGGCGTGATGGCAACAGTTTCGTTGAAGCACAAACAAGCGCAGTAATGACGGTTCGCGTCCACGTCCGTCAGCACGGACACGTAGAACCGCGGCTCCGTTCGTTCCGTCGATAGAGCCCATCCTTGCGGCTGACAAAACTAGTCGAAAGAAAACGAATTTAAAATTTAAAAAAACGAACTAAAATAAAAAAAAAATTTTTGTTCAAGAGCAAGAGCAATTGCAATTTTTTTTATTGTTTATATGGGTGGACGAGCTCACAGCCTACCTGATATTAAGTGATTACTGGAACCCATAGACATCTACGGCGTAAATGCGCCACCCACCTTGAGCTATAATTTCTAAAAGGTCTCAAGTATTGTTACAACGGCTGCCCCACCCTTCAAACCGAAATGCATTACTGCTTCACGGCAGAAATAGGCAGGACGGTGGTACCTACCCGCGCGGACTCACAAGAGGTCCTACCATCAGTAAATTATGAAGTTATTTGCATCTTAAGCTTAATTATTTAGGAGATGGCGATAGGCAATCGCGTCAACGCTCGCAAGTGTTAGCGACTCCTAGACACTGCTCTGCTGCGTTTGGAGGTAGCTTCCGTTACTTGGCCTCTAAATGTTCGAACAATATTCCTCCACCTATCCGGCACCAGAGAACACTAAGTTCTTTTAAAGCAAATTTAAAAGAATATCTTCTGAATATGCAAATTAAATTCGAAAATATCAATTTTAACTATTCCGTGCTGTAATTGTGAATTGCAATTGTAATTTTTTATAATTTAATATAATATATGTATTTCATTGTTGTTGTTGCAGTTATTGTTGTTATTCTAAGCTCAGATAATGATTGGTCGGTCTGATGCTGGTGTGCACGTAGGGCCGCAGGATCTGGCGGAAGATCAGCGCCCCAGTACCGATTTTCTCGGTAGTATTAGGCATTGCTGAGCCGGTAACCCTTTCCAAGCCTCATTATTTTTCTTTTAATTTTTGTTTCGTTTTTGGTAAATTTGTGTTTGGAATAAATGTTTATTATTATTAAAAGCTTATCATTAACCGCTGTATTGCTGCGGCTTATGGAAAATGTAACATGAAATACAAACCTATTTGTTGATACGCATTGCACGCTACCTGTACACTAAGCTGCAAACAACTGTGCATAGTTTTAACAGCTACTGTCTGTGGCTAGTCTAATCTAGTCTAGTCTGTGTCATATCCCGTTTGATGGTTGAATTAACAATTTTTTTTTTATTTCATTAAATATTTACCCATCCTATGCCGTCGTGAAATGGTACGTCGTCCCAGTTTGTTTCGGGAAATCGCTGGAGGACAACGCCGCTGTTCAGGCCGCCTCCTGGAACAATATACGGAAAATAAACTTTATTTACTGTTCCTAATTTTTTTTGTTAACGGTGGGTGAAATAGCTCATGGCTAACCTGGTGTTAAGTGATCACCGGAGTACATAGACATCAACTACGTAAATGCCTCCACCCACCTTGAGACATGAGTTCAAAATCTCAGCTTTTTGCGCAATACTGCTTGCTTCATGGCAGAAATAGGCAGGGTTGTGATACTACCCGTGCCATCTCATAATACGCCCTACCATTCTAATAAGGCGCCCTGCCACCGGTATTAATTTAACATTTAATTTTAATGTGATCAAAAGCATACTAATATGTATATACCTAGTCAGGTCATAAATTCTGTCACATGTTTAATGTAAAATAATTGAAACAAGTTTATTCATTATGTAACCATTCATTTACCAAAATGAACTTAACAAAATATTCAAAATGACCTCCGTGATTTTGAATACAGTCCTTCAATCTGCGCGGCCAGTCGTCTATCGCAGCACGAACGAGGTCCATGTCAATATCGGCGGCTGCCTTAATCAAGGATGTCTTGACTGACTCCAAATTGGGATGAGGCTTTGAGCACGCCTTTTCCTCCAAGTGTTGCCATATCTTGTAATCTAACGGATTCAAATCTGGACTGGAGGAGGGCCAGTCTTCGTGCCGGATGAAGTCGATTTCACGCGCCGCCAGCCAGTCTTGTGTGCTCTTCGCTCTATGAGCTGGCGCCGAATCTTGTTGGAATGCCCAGTGCCTGTTATTGAACATGGTATGAGAAACAGGTTCCACAAGGTTCGTCAGGACTGTATTTTGATACACAACTGCATTCGTTTTTACACCTTTCTCACAAAAATGTACCTCTGTTAAGCCCCAATAAGAAACTCCCAACCATACCATGAGCGAGGATGGAAAATGACCTNCACTACAATACATAAAAGAAAACCACGTAATACAAAAATAATTACTATCCCTTTCTTTCGTCGGCTTAATATTCTTACAATAAACGGCAGGCTAATCCCGATGCGACGCGGTTGCGTCGGCGGTGATCAAAGAAAAATCTAAACAACGAAGTCAACAAAATATTTTTGACAAGTCAGTCACGCCGCGTCCACCTTATCGATAAGAGGTCAAGTGATAGTGCAAATAAAATATCTCCCATATTTCGCTATGTCTTTTCGGTCAGTGACCTCCTAGATCAGCTGATTTGACGCCTCTCGACTTTTTTTTGTGGGGGCGAATTAAATCGCTAGTTTATAACACACAGACAATAAGTGCCGAAGAACTAAAGAATAAGATAATAACCGCCTTTGATAAAGTGAAAAGTGACATTGCAGTATTATCTAAAATAAAACAACAAATACGAAAACGGTCATTAAAGTGCATTGAACAAGGGGCGCGGCGAGTAGGTTTCTGTGTGTGCGTGCGCAGCGGAGTGCGTGTGAATCGGTGACCATTTTATTTCCACGAAATTGGAATAACTAATTTCAAAAATAATCAATGTTAACGCACATATAAATAATATTTGGTGTATGCATAGCGTTTATACTATTAAAGTCTAATTGGGGTGTTTGAGGGTGTGCGTTAAATATGTTACATGTTGTATAGTGCCATGTCACTGTATTACCGAGCACTATTTTATTAACTTGGGTAGATGAAGGATTAGTCAGAGCGCTGAATAAGCACAGAAGAGAGGAATTAATTCGAGAGACTAGGAATTTTGGTGACATTTGTGTTAAAAACAATAAGTTGGAGGAACTTGGTGAAGATCAACCGCGCACCGATGGCGAATGGTTTTGCTATAAAACGGAGACGACAAGTATGTTACTGGTGGTAGGACCTCATGTGAGTCCGCACGGGTAGGTACCACCACCGCGCCTATTTCTGCCGTGAAGCAGTAATACGTTTCGGCTTGAAGGGTGGGGTAGCCGTTGTAACTATACTGAGACCTTACAACTTATATCTCAAGGTGGGTGGCGCATTTACGTTGTAAATGTCTATGGGCTCCAGTAACCACTTAACACCACGTGAGCTGTGAGCCCTTCCACCCCTCTAAGCAATAAAAAAAAAATACAAAATTATTATAGGATAACTTATCGGCGAAAGATAACCGAGTTTACCATTATTAACAGGATTTTTTTCTTTTCATAATTAAAAAATAACAAAGTTAAAAAACAAAATCCTCTCATTGCGTATTCAGTAGAGACGGCCTGCTTCGAGGACACAACCATGCATATTCCCGGTCACGTTCCGACCCGTGCTGGAATTCCGATTATTTTAAACATTAACGGTTTAGTTAAAAAACGACACATACTACAAAATCGTGAACTTAATTTTTACAAGTGCAAAATTCGAAATCGGTAGACAGCATTCGACATTGCTTATGCCCATTAGCGACAGTCACCCTTAACCATCAAAGGGGCCTTGTGCTCTTACTGGCTTAGAACCTCTAGAAACCTCTATCGTAATATCTATAAATCGCTGTTATAATATTACCGAAGAGTGACATAACACGGACGTAGCATATTAAATATTACAACAAACAAGTTTTAGCATTTTTGTATTTAGTTCCATTAAATTTAGTTTTATTGCAAATCACTTTATTTATTGCTTCTGATTGTTCTTTTAGACAACAAAAAAAATAGTACCGATATTGATTAAACGTCGGTTAAAAGTTTGATTAGGTCAACCTTGTTTATCGTACTATGGCCAATACTTTAAGAATTTCGTTCTGTAGGAGACTAGAATTTACCCTTTGCAGCCATGGCGAGCAACCAACTATCGTGATTCTCTATAGGGGTCAATCTTTAATTTCTCGCCAAGCTTGATGCTCAACAAGCAAGCTGGATTTGTAAACGAACCTGCAAACGTAACTGAAATTTCCTCCTTCTTTAGAGAAGATAGGATCTCTACTTGAGACGTACAGCACTGACTTCCTTACATATACCAGAATTTGCTGCAACACCTAACGTTACTTCAAAAGGATCGAGTAAGTCCATCTCCTGAAGTGCTACGTTTTAAAAAATTTTAGTGTGAAACACAAGCATGTGTCTTTAAGCGCAATCTTTGACCAACTAAAAACACAGTAGCTGCTAAATATCGAACAGGAAATAGGTCCACATGGCGTTTGGCCACGAGCACGTATACTTCTTAACTTAGCGTAATATCAGGATTCAAGGGACGCGGTCAAAGATGCTTGAGCGATGAATGGTATTTAGATCATTAATATGTACGTTTGTAATCGTCGATGCATTGACCAGTCACGAAGATTGAGACCACATAAAATAAATGATATTATGCACCTTGTTTCCTTCAATGTTATTTACGACTGGCATTTAGAGTACTCCGTAACCCATTGACATTAAAAGGATAATGAAGGCGCAAACCAAAACAAACATGTTTGGTATGAGCCCATGTCAACTTGGCGCAATGTCCACCATCTTTTTTTTTTTTTCTTTGTTGGGTGGACGAGCTCACAGCCCACCTGGTGTTAAGTGGTTACTGGAGCCCATAGACATCTACGACGTAAATGCGCCACCCACCTTGAGATATAAGTTCTTAGATCTCAAGTATAGTTACAAAGGCCCACCCTTCAAACCGAAACGCATTACTGCTTCACGGCAGAAAAAGGCGAGTTGGTGGTACCTACCCGTGCGGACTTACAAGAGGTCCTACCACCATCTATCGTGATTCGAATGCTAATTTTGACAATGATATAAGAGTATTCCATGAAAAAAGCGTCTCACAAATTACTCTAATCACTCAATTGCAAACATGACCTAATATTGAATGATGTCAGTAATGCGGTCGATTCGAAACCTATACAAAAAAAAACACAACATTGAATGAAACGTGGGATTTGAATTGCATCAAGCAAAAATAAGGAAATGAACAATGCTTTATTGTTGAAGGTTAGTTACAACGACTTATAGGATCTATTGTCAAGTTCGAAGATCCAATGGTAGATTGATAAACAAGATTAATCGTAAAGAACTATTACGACTTTTATTGACAAACTTAGCGATCGTATGTATGTATGGTATTTTTTATACTTTTATAGTTTTCATACAAACATTTCAGGTTAGCAACAAGGGTCAAGATGAAGCTATAATAAATATAATATAGTAGGATGCTGGGCTGGGATTTTCGAACTATTGTCAGTTTAATTAAAATAAAGGATTTCTTAAAGTTCAGCAGTCATTTGAAATTAACAATTAAGTATAATATTCATGTCATAACTGCTAAAAAATACGTGATTCTAATGACAGTCACATATTTTTGGTAGCTCTAATCAGAGCTCGTTTGTTATTGCACTAGTTGGGTGGAGTAACTGAGAGATCTCTATAGGTTAAGTGGCTACCAGGACCTATAGACAACTCAGCTTTCTCACCTTGAGACGTGAAAGTCGAAGTTTCAGTTACATTGGAAAACGGCTGTGTTCAAACCATTTTTTTATTGCTTAGATAGGTGAACGAGCCCACAGCCCACCTGGTGTTAAGTGGTTACTGGAGCCCATAGACATCTACAACGTAAATGCGCCACCCACCTTGAGTTCTAAAGATCTCAGTATAGTTACAACGGCTGCTCTACCCTTCAGACCGAAACCCATTACTGCTTCACGGCAGAAATAGGTAAGGCGGTGGTACCTACCCACGCGGACTCACAAGAGGTCCTATCACCAGTAAAACCTTCAAACTGGAATGCATAATTGCTTTGGACAGAAATAGGTTTTATAGTGATAAAAACAATAAGCCCGCCCGTGCGGGTTCACAATACTCGATAATACTACACTTATTTATAGCATGATCTAGCTTCATAAGGCCGTTTATGATGGGCGATTTTCGAAATATTTATTCATGAAAACCTAGGAGTGGGTAATATCGGTTTTGCCGCGTATCGAATCGTATCTATATATCGAGGATCAATATCGGATATTGAATCTATATATTTTCTGAATCTATATATTGATGGATGTTAGTAGATTTTCTCGATTCATGATATTTG